TTGACAATATTTTTTATTGAAATTGTTTGAAAATGTTATAAATTATATTATGTTGGATCTGTATTGAATTTAAACATGCAGCATGTCGAAAAGTGCTGTATTGTGCCAAACTATGGGTACTACTGGGGCTTGGAACCATAATTTAGAACCCGTAATAACGTAGGTTCATGAATCAACTATAGACGAAATCCAGAAGGGTGATTTTCAGGTTCTGTAGAATTTAGATTAAATATGAATAAAGACCTATCGATCAAAGGTTTATCAAAAAATTAGGATTGAATCTCTAAAATCAAAACGTTTTTAAACCTAATGATGTGGCCATTCATCTATAAATTAACTGGGTAAGGTTAAAATATATAATGCTTAAAGCTAGTAAAATAAAGTGTTCCTAATATCATAACGAGATCAATCGTCGCCTTCAAATAGTGTCAATGACTAAAAACAATTACTTTGCAATTCACTTACACGGACTTGCATTTCTCTGTTCGAAGTATAAAATATTTTAAATCGTGATTTTTTTTTTTATTATATTATTATTATTATTATTATTATTAGTATATACCTGCACTTTTAAAAGTTGATGCATTTAATTTTGTAATTTGACTTAATATTTAACTTCGATGAATACTTATAAACAAATAAACAATTATTATACATATACTTAACCTTTTGAGGTGTTTTATGTTTATATTTAAATCAAATCGCAAATTACATATAAATGCGTCTCATACTATACGTCATATATTAAACTCTTCGTCATAATTTAACAACATATGTTTATTATATATAATATTGTATGCATAGACTATATAGGTACTCCAAGCATAGATATATGAAATTAGTAAATTCTATTCACGTCAGATTATATGTTTTTCACGCTTCCCGTCGTAATGATTGAGACGCGACTAGTTGACCGGCGGATCAGCTCAATTTGTGAAAGCGATTGGTGTCCGGGACAATGGGTGCAAAAAAAAGAGACAAAAATGCCGGAGGAAAGACAAAAAAAAAATAATAAAAAATAAAATACAATTTTTCGTTCACGGCGGTGCTCGCGTAATCCGTGCTCTGAATTCCGATTGTGTGAAGTCGTGAAAGCTTCTTATTATAAAGTAATCATTTATAACATATATACAATAGCGTCTATAAAAAGCAGTGAATTATATGTTGCTCTTTAAAAGTGGACCGTGTTTGAATTTATTACTGTTTTTGTTTGATACGCTCATCGAAAATTTATTGCAAATCGAAAAGAATATCTCGTAAGATATAAGATGCAATAATTTTAATTCAACATAAACTCTTCCTTTTATTTATGAAAAGTAATAATTTTTGTTAGTAATTCTTAAAAAATAAATAAATATACCTACTGTTCTTCCACGAAAATACGAGTATCGGTATATAGTACCAACCAAAAGTATTTTTTTTAATATTATTTAATTATTAAAAACTATCCGTTCCTACCTCATACAAAAAACATATTATTTTGTTTGTTGTTTCGCTCATCTCGACGAAGAATATTGCYATAGTAGTGTATATATTGTTATTATTTGGARTTATGATTCCATTTTAATCACTTTTAAGGCTATAAAAAGTACCAATTATATTCGATTTCCAATCAACCACCTACTTGACATTGTTTACCCGATTAACTATTTTAGAAGTATTAGCACTAGACAAAAATCAAAAATAATAATTGTTAAACTCGAAAYATTCCTTTTTTTAACTCAGAATCTAATTTTATTAATTATATTTGGTACATTAGATATAGTAACTGCAATAATATAATGATATTGCCTAGTTGTGTCATCTAATATTTAAATAARTTATAATATATCAATTGTATTCATAATAACAAATAAGTATCTTTACCAGTTGTATGAATAAATTTATTTTACGTGTTGGTTTTAACTTACTTTTATTGTGTAGGTACTCATTACGCTGTTTATAATTTGTCAATCGAACTTATGAACGTTATATTTGAAATTTGAACATTAAAATTCAATTTAGCATCACTTCTTAGAATTTTTGTWGTGAATACAAGAATTACCGCGAAATCTCTCTAGGGTATAAATATCATTGTTTGAAAATAATTACAATACGATACTAAAATATTTTTTACCTAACGAATGACAAAAGATTTTTATATATATCAAGGTACAACCTACTTTTTATATTTCAAGTGTATACGTATACAATAGTGATACATTTTCCGTGCAATTGTAGTGTATATTTTATTTWCAAATATATCTCTAATAATTGGTTCAAATTTAGAAAATGTTTTAGAATAATAATATAAAAATATTTTCCTACTAATGCTAAAATAAGGACATTTATTGGTCTACASATAGATTACCTAATTCAAATTACATTTCTATTTAAAATTTTATTTTCCCACAAATCTTAAATTGATATTTTGATATTCATTTACAGTTAAAGCTTAAATAATACATACAGTATAATAGGTAGGTACATCATGTTGTAATATGTTCTGACGTATAAAATATTATAAATTATTAAGTCACAATGTAAAATGTTTTAATTGAAAACAACCAAATGTTTTTTTTTCACATATATATTATTACGCCTCCAATTACATAAAAAGGTTATGATCATAACAAAATAACGCGCATAATCTAAAAAATAACTGCCACAGCAACAATTTTACAACAAATATTTATTGAGGGCCAAAGAAAATGTCATAATTCGCAAAACATTTAGTTGTAAAATTATATTTAAAAGCGTAGATAGGCAAGTACGTTATGTTCTCGATTTTATATTCGTTTTTTTTTTTATTATTCCCGTTTGTTTTTATTGTGCTTGCTTAAACTAATTTAGCGATATATACCTACGCATGGATGTACACATATTACCAGTACACAGAGCCCCGTGTTTGTCTGTGCATAATACAAAAATATATTATATAATTATTATTGTTATTATTATTATACAACGATGATAATAATATTATTATTATGGTCGTAAATTTGAATACTATATCATTTGATATGAGAACACTTTGTTCTTTTAATAACCTCCGTCGTGTTCCAGATAGTTTCACGTGTAAAAAATAATATGCAAGCTATGATGGTATTTTTTTTTCTTTGTCTTTTCCTCGTTTATTTTGCATTATACCGGAGATAGAATTATCTAAAATTCTAAATCACGTAAAAAAGGTCACTGTGCACAGTATATAGGTAGTATAACTTTTTTTTTATCTTATTTTCTTGTATCCGAATTTCAAAAATAATTCACTGTCCGCGACAATGAATTTATCTCTAATACTGTTGTTTATGTATTTTTCAAAGTGCCCACAAGACTGTTCTTGTTGAATGATATTTGTTATAATAATAAACCATAGCGAATGTCACATAATATATAAAAATTTTAATGGGTTATGTAAATTGTTCGTTGAATAAAAGTTTGATACGTCACGCTTATGATACCACATCATAATATAATACCTTCCTATATACAGTCATATTATTATCGTTTACGTTAGATATGTGTGAATAAATATGATGTTTTATTGACTTGCAACGATTCAATTATATTAAGCTTAGGTTGAGTATTAATATAATTTTTATAAATGATACTCTGCTTGCAAAATGTGTAGGTCAGAAAAATAATATTTATATATATATATATATATATATATATAAATTTAGTTAAATATTCACAGTTAATAAGTGTATAATAAATAACCTTCGATGACGAATCACATACCTTACTTAATTTTAATGCAAGAATTAAATATTAGAATTTTGATTTCTACAATGCTAACGATTTCAATTTAAATAATTTTACTTTTATTCAGTAAATAAAATTATCATACTATCAATCTCATAAATATATGGCTTAACTATTTGCAATTTTTTGGTATGACCTTATATAGATGACTCTATAATAATATTTACWAAACAAAATAAAAAATATTTATCGACAAAATAATATTGAAAATATATAAAAAATATAGTCTGAAATTAAAACAAAATAATAATTTCAATTGTTAGCATGTATATACTTTCTTAAAATAAGTTTAACTATTGATGTAGGTAGTTAATAATAATAAAGTTATTTACGTCATATTGATGGAGCAGCGCAAAATTTTCTGCGACAGCTTATTATTATGACCCATTTTTAAGTTTTATATAAAACCGTGTAATGTGGGTTAAGTGATCGCGTATGTAACGTACACCTATCGATGATCTCTTCCACTATACTTATACTGGTTTGAAGTAATTTTCAATATGATATCCTGCGTTTTTTCGTCACTTTTAAGTGTCTCGGAAAGAAAACATGATTTTAAATTAATTTTTTTTTTTTTTTTAAGCAGCTGTGTCAAAATCATATTTGTCACTTTTTTTTTCTGTGCGTAGTAGTTTAATCTAAAAATGTATTTTCGTTGAGTTTATTTCCCAAAGTTTTGACTATTTGCATTATAAATTGAGGATTGTGTTCATCTGTTTATCAACAATATTATACACATTAATGATGATCCATTAGAAATATTTACCCATTTACTATCGTTAATCAGAAACGATCCCATTATATAACGACTTGGCTGTATTGTATTATCATTGCGAACTTAAATTACACTTTTTTTTATTTAAACCATATGATAGAATAACTATTTTATTTTACACTATTAAACTTAATATCAGTAACTTAGTAATAATAGGTTTAGTAGTGTAAAATGTATTTATTTTTTTATAATAATCAGTTGACCCATATTACCTATATTCAATATCCATAATTTATTTTATTAGAATTAACATATTATAGTATTTTATCATACGAATATAATTAATGATACGGTTCCAGATAAATAGCTTACTGTACACATATAAGCGTGCACTGTACACATTTCACTTACACTGATAAAAAATGTTTATTTCATAAAATATAATTATTCAATTGTAAATCATAATTCATTGGCGGTACCTACTAGTTTTTTTTTTTTGAACGATTTTTATATTACGAATAAAATAACTTTATTTTTTCAGCATTTTGCCTCAGACTAACGGAGTTGAAAATCGAGGAACACACTCTCGTGGGAAACAGTACAAGACTAGAGTGCAAATATGACCTACAGGGTGAAAAATTGTACACAGTCAAATGGTACAAGGATGGAAACGAGTTTTATAGATTCCTGCCCGGGGAATCACCAGAAGTACAAGTATTTGATGTTACGGGAGTGCACGTTGATGTAAGTACATTAATTTTATAATACAAACATGTTGTTATWTTCGTTTATGTTTTTTATTCGCGGAGAATATTTCTGTGAATATTCTTTGCGTGACTTAAAATATCTCCAACGTGTTTCAAATACATAATATGCTCGTATGAATGCGTGTATTTAATCTCTGCTCAAAAAAAGTGCGATACGTTAGTTTTTAACATGCGACGTTTACTATTAAATATTTTAACTCACGTCATATATTTATAATGCTTAAGGAGGAAAAAAACCTATATCGAATTGAATGTATGAGGCATCCTTACTGTTATGTATATTAATAATGCAATAGCTTGTGTACAAAACATACCAAAACTTTGGAAATAATACAAGTATGTACGATATGATTGTATTGTTCAAATAGAACCCGTGGAAAACTCGTGGATGAGGTAAATTCGAAATAGAAATCATTTAAATTCTAATCAAAAATGTTGTTAATTCAACTTTTGCCGTCGGGGTGTGTACTGAACTTTTGTGGAAGCTAACTTAATGTGTTCGGCCTTGGGTATCGGTCTCTAATGTCGCACGTAATAGATTCGGTTGTCGTGTTACCGACCGCCGCCACCGCTGAGCTCCCGAACCTAAAACCCAATAGTTCTACAACTTACAGTTACAAATTCGAATTTCATAATTACCCCCATAAAGCACACAAATGTCCGTCGCTGCTGGTGCATTAGTAAATGTTGAAAAACAAAAAAAAGAATACAAAAAACCGTTTCTCTGTAGATTATTACATTACAAAAATGTTTTAAATTATTATAAAATATTATTTGTTCTTTTTTTCTTATATCGTGCACTGCCTAAGTACGTTTATATTGTTTTAATCCCAAATAAACTGACAAAAAAGTTGTTAAAAGCAAAATATGCATTGACCGACAGCAAAAATTACAAAATTCAAATAATATTATAATCATATGATTTATTTCGTTTATACCAAACGATGAATGATATTTTTTATTTATTGCAAACGCAATTTTAAAATTATTTACATTTAAATTCCAATCGTTAAAGTTCCAATCGCCCATTATTAAAGTTATACATTTGATTAAACATATTTCTACTGTGGTAGAGTTCATCTTTACCTTCCGTTATTGTGTTTTGTTTTTAAAATTCATGATTCTTTTCATAAAAACAAGAATACACTAAATCTGTCCTGTCTACTGTATTATAACAAATATAAATCTTAAATTAAAACCACAATGCTCAAGCACTGGTTGTCCTGAAGCAAACAAACGAAATGAAAAAATAAAATGGAATTGAACTGCACGAATATAGTTTACAATTTGTGTTGACATACTTTTTTCAGAAGATTTTGTCCTTGTCGAGAAAATAACGTATTTATAGCGTTTTTTTTATATATATATATATATTCTTCAAAGAGTAACAAACCAAACATAACATTATATAGGTCAATTTTCCATCGATGTCTCAGAAGAAATTGGAGATTTACTATTCCTCAACATAATTTTAACGGTTAAATTAACATTTGAATTATATCTAAGGATTGATTATAAGCAGTTTGGAAAAATAACAAAAAAAGAAGTCTTATCGATGAAATTAAAATAAATATAGATTAAACACACCATATATACTTAATATATTGGTAGCTATGTCATGCACGAATCAGACTTCTCGTTTAAAACTTGTCTAAAAACTGTCGTGGAAATTGTTATAGTTAATCATGAARAGTGCTTTTTTGATCTTACTTATACAATATTACTCGTATATACGAGTACAACAGTTTAAGTATAAGTATAGGTATGTTCGGCACGTATTATTATATTTCATGTAAAAAGTAAAACATTTCTCAATTATTTTTAGTGTTTATACTTTATACCACCATCTTGAAAAATTCTACGAGTTCAATATAATATGTAAGTACTTATGAGTTATGAAGTAGCTCCTCGCTGAATGATTACATATATATATATATATATACATATATATATATAATAATCCCTAAGTATCAGAAATATCTAAAAAAAAAAATATGTTTATATCTTTTCAGTCTATTTTTAATTTCAGTTATCGGTTTTATATCATGTAAAATACTTAAAATACGAATTAATCAAAAAAGAGAAAAAATAAGTAATCACTTTAATGTACGGTAGATTAAATACACCTTCATATCAAAAGTCAAACAAATATTTTGTAAGCCGGTAAATGGGTAGCATTAATTAACGATTTTTTTTTTTATTTACTATTTATAATAATAACTTGATATCTGTAATATAGTGATAACTTGCACACACAAAATGTATGAAGCTGGATATTTAATTATTTGATATTTACTTGAATGAATAATAATTTCACAAAATTAAATAAAGTTTTTTTTTTATTAAATTATATAAATAAATCATAAAAAATAGCGTGTTCCGCCTATCATAAATACTAATTTATATTTTAACGCTATCATGGCTGTATGTTTTAATTTTTAATTTTTTTTTTTTTTTCGTTTCTTCGGGATTTGTTAAAACGTTGGATATAGGAATCATTAAATAAAAATATGCAATACAGAAACAAAAATAGCTTGTCAGAAATAAAATTCTATATCAACATGAATCATTACTAAATTTTTAATGCCGTGCTACCGAAACCCTCCACACAGTAATGTGTATAGCAGCCAGCAGGGATGAAAAAAATTGTACACTATGTGCCTTAAATATWTGACATATTCGAATTTATAATTGCAGTGTTATTAGCTGATATTATTTTCAAATCCTTCAAATACACCCTATATATATAGGTTTACCTAACATATATTATATACCTATTTAATACATCATATTACTCAATATAATATATTGAATTACGTATGCAATATGCATAGCAGGTATAATACAATACTTAATATAGCTTTCAACGTGGTAAGTTTATCGGGTCGAAGAATTCCGGTAGTGCCGTATAATTAATATGGATTCGTCTCGAGTTTCATCCTCTCGAAACGATCGGTTTCGCTAATAAACGRTTGCTTATTGTTGTTATTATTACTATAACGCAATGGTAAAGTGTTGTGTCGTTAAAAAAGAAAAAATTACACAAACCGAATTATCAGCGCATAATATACGCGTAGGCGACGGACGATCGGTATACATATATTGACTTCGGGAGTGAAAGAGTGAAACTTGAGGTGACCGAAAGAAAGATGCAATTTTTTTTTTAAGTTCCCATTCCGAGAGCATTCGACCGGTGGCCGAGTTATCGTGGGGGTCTGCAGGAGAGGTAAAAAAATATACCCTCAGCGGTGGCGGCCGCGCGTCAATTAGTCTCGAGTCRCGCCAGGTGTTGTTGTCAGATTTGTGCGCGAAATGATGGAACGTGAACGTTTTGGCCCGGAAAATTAATGCCCGTTCTGTACGGTGTGCGCAAAAACGTTTGCGCCTCGCCTATATGTACGATTTTCGGAGACCCCGTCGGCGCCTGTGACTACCCCATCCGTTTTTTTCATCACGCTGTATATATAGTATATATACTGTGGCATTTCATCGTCGTTCGGGCTTTCTCTCACCACTCCCATCCGCGCCCGATGGTAATCCGCGGACCCACGTTTTGTTCTTCGTGGGGTGCAATAATTTATTATTATRTTACATTATATAATATACTTACGTGTTATTACACGCCGTCGCCACCGATAAGTGCAATACGCGTGATTTGTGATTTATAAAAATATCAGAATTCGGTGGTTTGTTAAAAGAGAAGAGGTTAATATTAAAAGGCGTGTAATACAAATATGACGTGTATTAAACCTACATTATTGGCATGATTACCAAGTATTTTGATTTATCCGGATGCTCTCTGTAGCGATAACCTGCCAATGCACGAAATGAAAATAATCGTTTCAAAATTCTCATTTTCTATCATTAATTCAATTGAGAATTTGGTGGCCGATTGAAGACATACATACTCATCCACAGGTCATAGCTGGTTAAAATAAACCTTATCAGTTTTCATATAGCAGTACATTCTTGTCGATGTATTATGATACTTATTTTATGTTTTTAAAATAGTACAAACTAAGTCGATTTACCAAATTTTCTTTTTCTTTACAAATCACCTGAAATTAAAACATAATATGACCAAATAGTTTGTGGATATTACAATTTATGTAAGRAAGAAAAACTTAAAAGTAGTAAAAATAATATTTTGGCATAACTTCAAACCACCAAAAATAAAATATAGGTACTTCCATGAACGTCAAGAATTTTTGAAAAAAATTGTTTAAATTAAATTAATGAAACATCTTTAAATATTATTATATTGTAATTATTTTGAAAATAGATATTGTCAAACTTTGTGTGTACTTTGTGTGATTTAATCCCTTCTCCAGACTTGCTCTTCTGCTTATTTTGCTACAAATACACCTCTGTATTGTATTATATTATAAGTACAATATTATTATATAGCCATATATAGGTACAATACYGCTTTCATTTCAACTTGCAATTTAAATAATAAGAGTAGTAAAAATAATTACTGTACATTTTTATGTTGTTGCCTATTTATTTCAGTTGATTTACTTCCAAGTGTTTTTTGTACTTATTTAACGGACTAGTCACTTTTTTTTCTCTGTCATTTTTCTTCTTATGAGCAACTACACATATAATAGTTTGTAAAAATAAGTAGATACAATAATACATATATTATAAAAGAAAATGCATAATTATTATAATGACATACTAACGGCTTAAAATTAATAAATTAGGTCGTAAAAGAAATATATATTAGTTCTAATGGTATCCGGACATTTTCCCCCCGACTGTTTTTGGCGTAGAGG